TTCCAGTCCACAACACTAGCTGCTCGCCATGTACATGATCCTGTATCAATAAACTTAGCCTCTATGGTGGATAAACTAACTATTGGTTGCTTTTTAGAAGACTATGAAACAGTTACAGGGCTTAATAAAGACATATAACTTGAAGTATTCTTTCTATTTTCTACATCTCCAACATGATTGCTATTAGTGTAAGTAACAAGTTCATCTTCTTTCTTCTTATAGAAGATTCCAAAATCTATAGTGCTAGTGCCCTTAACGTATCGCAAAATTCATTTCACCACCTGCAAATGTAACTATAGTAGAATTTTCTATATATCTACTAGCAAAACTTACTACAAACATCACGCTCGTGTTGCAGTAAGATACATGAGACTATCAACAACTTGCTTGTAATAATTCTATCCACCTTAACTCCAGCTTCATTCTTCATAGGCTTAAATCCATGGACTATTGGATTAAACAACATAATTACATTTATTCATTTCAAAGCACTTTAGACCTTTGATGCATATTTACCTTTACCTGATGAAAATACCATCAGACATTTTTAAAACTTCAAGACCAAGAGAATACCTCTTCCTCCCAAGATCCATCATATCAAATTCATTCTTCATAGAATTTACGAACTCAATTAACAACAGGTCATCGTTATCACAAATAATAAAATCATCAACATATAAACTAAGTTTACCATTTTCTTGTCTTGTCTTTTGATGAAGAGAGTGTGTTCATAATCGCATTTCTCAAAGCCTTCCTTCATGAAATAAGCATTCATTCAGCTATAGATGCACATATAGATGCACATGGAGCTTGCTTTAGTCCATAACTTGCATTTTTCAGTTTATAGACATTTCCCTCATTTCCCTATCAAACATAACCACTTGGCTGCTCCACAAAAAAACTATTAGACAATTTACCATGAAAGAAAAATGCTAATTGTACTTCTAGTTGATAGATAGTCCAGCTCATTTGAGCTGCAAAAACCACAATAAGCAGAATTGTTTCCATTCACGCAACCGGTGCAAATACTTTAGTATAATCTACTCCATACTACTTAGAATACCCTTCATTACAAGTTTAGCCTAAACTTGGTCTTATAAACCCGTTTTTCTCCTATCTTATTCGCTTCATTTGGTAATTTTGTTAATTCCCATATGTTATTTTATGTATTGCTTCCATTTCTGCATCCATTGCTTCACTCCATTTTCCACTTTTAACAACTTATTCAAACAGAATAGAATCATCAGCTATAGACACCACCAAATTGTTGGATTGTACGGTAAAACTAGGGGAGAGTGAATAGTGTTGAAGAACAATTTACTAAACTTATTTGCTTTTATGGTCAAATCAAATAACTAATTAAAATTTTAAGACAAAACAATTTATGCACAATTTGTACTAACTAAAATATTATAAAACAAATATTCAAGATGAGCACAACAATTATTTGCAATAAACGAAAATATACTTGAAAAAATAAATTGCAATAAATAAAAATATAGGGTTAAAGAAAACATTATGCAGGAGATTATAGTGGTTCGGCAAACCTCTACCCTACTCCACTCCCTGAGCAGTTCTTGAGATTTTCCACTAAACACACGATCCTTTTACGGGTTAAAGATAGTAAACCCGGTCCTTTTACGGGATCAAAACCAAACCTTTACATGCTGCACTTGTATGGGATTTAGTTTTAAACCCAATATTTTTCCCAAGACAAATATCCAAACCCACACTCCGTTTTGTTTTACCAGGTTCAAGAACAAAACCCAACTAAGTGTGAAAATGAAGTTTTTCACACACTAAAACTCTTCCAAAGAGTAGATAAGAATATGAAATTTCTCAATACCTAAAAGCTCTCAAATAGCTAAATAAAAACGCCCAATACACCCCAAAAAGTAGCCGTTGACTGTCATGTGTCAGCACTGGATTGGTTGATACAATAGAATAATAAAAAATTATGCATGTTGACCAATCAAACGAGGATGATGCAAGGTGCCACATGTTGTGCTCTGATTCGTCTCAAGTGTGAAATTATTAATATAATAACAATTTCAAATATATATCCATAATAATACCGCCATGTGTTGAGTTGTGATTCATCCACGACATTAGAATGTGTTATCGCCACGTTAGCAAATACATTCATTGAGTGTCATGTCATCAATTTTGACTGTTAGAATTCCACATTGTCAAAATGTAACCTTTGAGATTCTGCATCAGATGCCACCCATCATACTGCTACGTGTCGGATGTTGATTTGGTCTACATGTCTACGTCATCATCCACGTAAGTTTTTCCTTTCCAATATTGTTTTGGCCATATCTTCTTCCTTTGAACTCTGATTTGAACGATTCAATTTAGATTGGTTTACTCTTTTCAAGCTCTATAGTATGGACAATTTGAAACGCTAAAATTATCAATAGATTAAGTTTGTTATCATTAAAACATATGGTATGATTGAAGCTCGTAAAACCAACATAAATAAGCTTCATTTTCTTCTTCAGAAAGCCTTTCTTCGTTATCTCATAATCTTTCATCCAGCCGGTGGTGCTCTATTTCTCCCTTCATTTGTACTAGAAGTATAATCTCCAGTCGAAGCATCAGAAGAAGTATTCTCTACGTCTACATCAACTTCATATTCGCCTCTCTCTTCACCTTCATCAGTTACAACTACTCCATTTTCACGATCTTCCCATTTTAAGTCACATACAATTGTGTTTTCATACTTCTAATCTCAATCTCAAGCCTTATCTTCTTCGAAAACATCCTTACTTATTATATTATTATTTTTTTAATTTGGATCATAAAATTTGTAAGCATTTGACTCCTCACTAACCCACAATAGTACACAACTCATGCTCTTATTCATTTAATTTAGTTCTTTTATAATCAGAAACATGAACATGATAAATGCAACAAAAAACACGAAAAATACTCAACTGATGGTTTGGCTCATTCCATTACTTCTTTTAGAGTCCAATTTTTGACAACAAGTGTTGCACATCGTTTCAGGACATGTACTGTCCAATTTATTGCTCCAGACTTTTTGGAATTTACTTTTCAAAGAGCATGTTGCGTACCATATTCATAATCGTTCTATTATTGCGCTATGCTACTCTGTTTTTTTGTGGCGTATATGTAGCTACCAATTATCTTTGAATGCTATTATGATCACGAAATTTTGTGAAATCAAGTAATGTGAATTTACCTCCTCAATCAGTTCGCAAACACATGATAATTAATTAAATCTATTTTTTCTCAACATGAGTTTTAAATTTTTGAAAAACAGCAAAAATAGAGCTTCGTTGCTTTTTCCAAAAGAAAATAAACCCAAAATTTTATGATAAAGTCATCAATGAAAGTAATCAAGTACCTCTTTCCACTATTTGAAGTTGGTTTGATTGGTCCACAAATATCAGTGTGAATTAACCAAAGAATTTGTGTTGCTTTCCCACCATACAATCCTTGCAAGGTTCTGATGGAGACTTGAGTTCCGACTAGCCATTAACAAGGTTCTTTTGTTCAAGTATTTTTTGACATTTATAACTCAAATGCCAATATTTGCAATGCCAAGAGCTCAACTTTTGATTTTGTGATTGTATTGAAACAAGAGGGTAATATAGGGCACGTTTAGTAACATTTCCGTTTTTTGTTTATGTTTTTTCTTTTTTAATAAAGAAAAATATAATTGTATGACGCCCAACTCCCATAGATTCAAGAATGATGAAACAAGATCTTTATTTATGTTGGAACAAATTATGAACGAGAACAAGAAAAAAAACTTGTATTTGTTGTTTTAAAAATTTCTATACAATTTTGAGCTAAAAAATGAGAAAGAAGAAACATAAGTAGTTGTCAAATGTTTAGATTTATTAATAAAATTAAAAATAAAAAAATAAAAAACGGGAACGTTACCAATCGGACCTGTAGTAACCCATGTAGCTTGAATATTCAATTTGCTGCAATCTTCATATCCATTATCAATGCTTTCTCAAGAGTGATATACCTTGCATCTATCATGTTGAAATATAATAGCCAGTCCCTTCTCCTACAATCACCCAATACTTAACAGATTATTCTTTTAACTCAAGCACGTAAAATTCTTTCATGATATAAGAACTAAATTGTTGCAAACTCTATTACCAATTTAAAAGTAACTAAATTGTTTACGAACTAAAATATAGGACTAAATAATGATAGTAAAATATCTGTAATAATTTAGTACCCCTAAATAGAGTAACAAAAAATCTTGTTGTAATTGAAACATATGGAAAGAAAAACAAAATTTTGAATCACATACATAATCAATAATCATTACTCACTTGCCCATATTAATTACTTCTCCATATTTTTTCTTTTCTTTTCTGAAATATTTAGTAAAAGACTCTTTTTTTTTTTTCAAACCAAGACTTAACTGTTATACCTTCCTGAAAATATGAAGAACAAATAGTTATATATTAGTTAACATTCCAAAATGGAAATGAGCTGATATAGCACTATTTTACTTTTTAATCAAAATAATGCCTTAATATTTGATCCAAACTATAGTATTAAATATCAGTCGACATGTCACATTTTCATCCACATGAATGTATCAATGGATTCAACATCGGCACGAGGAGTAAATCGATATTTCTATAATATTACAAAAAAAATATATCAACAAAATATAAAATATATCATCGAAATGTCACTAATATAGACATAATATTAATATGAATAATTTTTAACTTATCTAAAAATGGTGAAATGTTTATTTGTTAATTTAAATATTGTTTACGATTTTTTTTATTTTTATAATTTTTCCAGAACATCATTAAAATAAAAGTCACATCAACATGAAATTCAACTATTGCACTTACAAGTGACTTCAATCCATGGTATATATAGGTACGCAAGGATTATCTTTATGATACGAGATCTTTTAGATGTAACTAAAAACAGCTACAAGATTTATGCATAAAGTGAACAATATCATAATATTGTGGATATATGTGAGGTTTCATTGTCCTTCAAAGCTGTGGTGAATCACGTAAACTAATGGAATGGAAAGTTTGACCCAAAAGACTTCGTACTAACGAAGATAATTGTTGTTGTCAATATGCCATGGATCTCCCATTTCCCTAATCAATGTGGAATTTTATTTGAACTCCTAACGTAATCGAGTAATAGCTATTTTACTACAAATATATATAATACAAACAATATATATATATACTCATCAAATAAATTCTACCTCACAAACATTACAGTTTTACATGAAATAACAAAGTTATTCAAACCAAAATCTACGAAATCCGTCTTCTTTCAGTTTGTGCAGTTTGGGTTTCACTATTCTCTTCCACTTTTATCTCCATTAACTTACCTGAAACTATTGAAGAATCATTATTCTTTTTCACCATTGTTTCTGTGTGTTCTTCAACAATCTCCCCAGACTCAATACCAAAACTGTTGAGTTCAGAAAAAGTGGGAGTTCGGTGGTGGGAAGAGAGCTCTTGGAAGCTTAGGGTTCTGCTGCTGCTCTCGAAAACGGTCGACGACTGACGCTCGGCCCCGGAGCGAGACGAGCCTTCCTGGTGTTGGCTGTCATCGTGCTCGTGGTGATGGTGATGTTTTTTTCTCTTTTGCTTCACATCTTTGTGCCATTTCTTTATGGCTTTGGCTGTGTGTTCTTCTAATGCTGCAGCTTTGAATTGTGACCCCATCTGAGGATCCAAGTGACATTTATATAACAAGTTTCTCAAAGTAACAATGATGGAATTTTATGTTTTCAAGTAATAATTTCTGGCTTTAATCTATAATATATGAGATGATATTTATGTGTATGTTTCCACACTTATTTTAGGGTTTATTCAAAGTTTTAGATTCAAATTGATTAACCAAGCTAGGTACAAAAGAAAGAATGAAATATTTTCTTCAAAATTAATCCTTTTTTTGTAATTATGATGCAACCACCATATCTCTAAATTGGGGTGCTTTCATTTAGCTCTCCTTATTTTTGTGTATGTTTCTCACATACATCAATGAAGTAGTTTTTCTAAAAAAAAAAAAAAATTTCTTCAAAATTAAATAAATAAAAAAGATCATTCAAATAAAAAAAATAAAGGATAAATATTATTTCTAAATCATTTTAAAAACTCCATTAAGGTGGAAAAGAATTGGAATTCATTTGATGGATTTACCTGCGTGACAAGAGCATAAAGAGGTAGAGTAATGTAGCTGCACAACACTTGGACTGTGATCCTACAATAGTTAACATACAAAAAAGAAAAAAAAAAAAGAAAGCTTAATCACAAATTTTTATCATAAATAGGATACAAATTACAAAAGTGGGAAAAGGGCTTATATGGACAACTATTATATTTTTGTTTTATGTTTTTTATTGGAGAATTATTTTTATGTTATTCATATTTGTTCTAAGACCCATACTTTTCAAGAAGGGGCAATATTGTTTGTTCCAAAACCCTAACATAAAAAAAGATTATTTGAGAAAAAAAAATTAAAAAAAAAAATTAAGAGCTCGTTTGGTGACATTTCTGTCTCTTGTTTCTCCTTTCCAATCAAATTAGAACTATGTTTTGCTACCTGTTTTTTGTTTTCTTGTTATTTCTTTTTTATTGAAAAAGAAATGGAATAAATTGGTAACCATTTCTTGTTTATTTTGTTTCTAAAATTTTAGATGAAAAATAAAAGTTTTATATGAAATTTAAATTTTCAAATTAAATATTTAAAATTTTTATGTTATATTTATTATGCATTTTAAAAATAAAAATAATAAAATAATGTTTTTATCTATATTTTGGAAAATATTAGAAACTGGAGGAAGAAACAAGGAAACTCATTTTGTTGTTTCCCAAATTTCCGAGAATCATAAATAGTTACTAGAAGCTTATATTTCTAATTAAAAAAAAGGGTTGAAAATGATAAATAGGAATGAGAACGTTGTCCTTAATTTTGGCATAACCAACATTAAATATTTATTGTAAAAAACATATATAAAACTGTTTTGAGAAAACAGTTCCAATATATAAGCCTAGAAGCCAATGAATGATACTTACGCTAAGACCACTCTTATAATGATGACCCACAACTTTTCGTGGTAGCAAGATCCGATCCCATATTGAAGCTGAAATGTAAAAATTGTAAAAGAAAAGAAAAATAAAAGAAAAAAGAACTAATTAAGTATAAAGAGCTCAATTAAACTAAAAAAAAAATGAATAATGAATGATAAAGATGTATCGATTTTTACCGTAACCCAGATGAAGAAAGAAAGTTCGAACGCGTTCTGAAAAGAGGAGGAAAAGAAAATCAATGAAGATAAAAAAAAAAGAAGTACAGTTAGAGAAAGGTAAAAGGGGGACTGAGGGTTCATTTAATTACCATAAACAAAGTGAAATGAAGTAGGGTTAGAACAAATTTGGGGTGATTGAACCAAAAGAGATCATCACTTGGTTTCACCATTGGGGCTCCTTTGACCACAACAGTCTTGTCTTGAAGCTCAAGGGCAAGCCTTGCTACTATCACTTCAAGTTTGGTTCCAAGAGCAAGCACTATCTACATGTACAAAAACAAGCCATATCCACTTCCAATCAACCACGTGACGATTAACATGGAAACGTCTCAATTTAGTCTGAAAAAATATATCTTTTCTAAAATGGAGATTAGAACAAAATTGGATAATCAATAAAGAAGCAAACTTTATCGAAGGAAGAGGACTTTTAGATCAAAATTGGGAAGCTAACTATCACATTGTTCCAGATTTCTACCTAATCAACTTTCCGTTCAAAATATTAGCAAATATTTGCTCAAATAATATTTTTAAAACGGTTATGAAAGATCAAGAGTAGTATTGAAACTTGTGAAATGATAGGACCATTTTTAATAAAGCGAGGGCGAACGTTCAGTAATTTATCGTTATTACTATTAGTTTACTTTCACTACCGTATTTAACCATAAAACAAAATAGAATTTATTAGACCTAATTCTCTAACTTACAATTAGTGGAAGGAAAGACACCCAGAGATATGCATTCCAACCTGGTCATCGTCATATATAAAACTTTTTTCAGCAAATGTTCAATTGATAAATAAAATAAAATGCTCAAGCTTTTAAATTAAGGGAAAAAAAAGATAATAAATTAAAGAAAAACTCACCATGCACATCTACCAGAATGAAGATAACTACTATGATCCACATGAAAGGACTGTCATATAAGGCAGAATCAAAGAAAAAAGAATAATAAGTTACAAAAAAAAAAGAGGTAATTTTTAAACTAATTAATTAGAGGGCGAAGGGTGTTAATAAACCATAATAAGAGTGACTTTTTTTAGTACCGCGTGTGAGGTGGGGATTCAAATTCACGACATTTTAGTTGGAGATAGATATCTTAACTAGTTGAGCTATGCACCGATTTACATCTAAAGTAAAAATTTTAATCCATATAAAATGTTTCTCTTTCATAATTTCATTGTTTAATTACTCGTAACTTTTTACTCTATTTTTTGCTTTTTTTAAATCTTAGCTAAATATCTAAAAACACAAAAAGTTTTTTAAAATCAGCCACAAATACAAATGCCAGACATGTGAAAGAAAAAAGGTAAATTGTTAAAATAAAAAATGAGTTCAAACTAATATTATCCACTAAGATTTTGAACTACATGTAAGTTGATAGCTTTTCAAATATTTTGTTTACAAAATTTAATGCCAATGACAGAAATTGAATAAAGAATCATCCTTAACTTGGTTTAACTTAACCAGAATAAAAGGTTGTGAGTTCGATCTTCTACCATTAGATATTGTGTTTAAAAAATGGAAATTCTCTTAGAAGTTCGCATATAAGGACCTAAAACTAATAGGATTTTTGTCTTTTTTTTAGTTCAACAATTGTAAAGATGGAGACTCGAACCTCTCGTTGATACCATAAAATTTTTTGAATTCTTTTCCACCCCAATCTCCAATTGTAGAATATAACTGTGTTTTGTAAATTTACCTTAAATTGACTATAGATTATGAAATAGAAAATTCTGTCAATTCAATTAATTGGTACAAATGATCATTTTATTTTGACTAATAATTACTACTAAAAAAATGAAAAACAGAACGGTAAAAGAATATTTACCTGATGCCAACGACGACTTTGAAGTCATCATGCAATGATCTTTCAATGTACTTTTGGAAGTTAAAGGAAGTGTTTGCAGGTAAATGAGTCTGTTAAAAAAAATGAACAGTAAGTACTTATTTGAAAGGCCAAAAGGAAAATGGAATCCAAATGCAGTAAAATTAAAAGTTATAAAGGAGATTTTACTGACCGAGATGAATCCATGGCGAAGGGTCAAGTAGTCGACTTTCGCCACAGAACGAAAGAACTGTCTGAAGAAGCATTTCTGCAAATTTTCAACTAAAATATTAATGAATGAATTTCTTAATCTTTTTTTTTTAATACTTTTGAATTTCAATTTCATCTCCATATTTCTAAAGTTTATTAATTAATTAATTTCTGTAGTCTCTAATATTAATGAGTGGTATTAAATGCAATCAAAATTTGTTACGTCACTATGTGGTGTATAAAATTCACAACATTTCAATCAAGAATATCCACTACTGAAATGAACAAAATAAGGTTTAAATACTATTTAATTATTTTACTTTTTTATTCTAGTTTGTTTTGATTTCTGTACTTTCAAAACGTGTATTTTTATTTGTACTTCCAACTTTGATTCATTTTAGTCATATTTTTGCAACATCCATTTTGGTTGCTGTACTTTTGAAAAACGACTATTTTGATTCATTTATTATTTTTTTTATCTCAATCATAATTTTAGCATAACACTCTAATTACTCAACCTTTTGAAATATAGTCATAAATTTGTATTAAAATGATTTCTAATGTGTATAAAATTTTGTAAGCATGAACCAAATTAATCATTTTTTAAAAATACATGGAGACCCAAATGGACGTTTTGAAAGTGAAATGACTAAAATGAACCAAAGTTGAAAATAGATAGACCAGAACAAAACAGTTGAAAGTACTTGAATAAAAAATGACCGTTTTCAAAGTATATTGACCAAACTGAACCAAAGTCAAAAGTACAAAACTAAAATAGTATTTAAACTATAAATTAAAGTATAAGTATAAAGATAAAATAAAAAATTGTAGGTTAAATTATCATTTTTTTAGTACAACAATATATGAGGTTCAAGATTTAAACTAACAACCTTTTGATATGACAGAGATATGAGGTTCGAGATTTAAACTAACTACCTTTTGATAGGAATATATATTTTAAGTCATGCTTAAGCTGACTAAGTTAAATTATTTTAGATGAAAAAAAAGAAATAGAATACAAAATAAAATTAAAAGATTAGATTACAACAATAATTATTATTATAGAAACCAAAATGAAAATATAAAAGAAAATTAAAAAGGAATTTTGATGGAAATTGGAGGTGAAGAACTTACAGTCCAGAGAAGCAATGGTGATGTTGTCGCACAAGAATTGATGTGCCGACGCCCGAATGTCGTTTGCCGTGTGAATCTAAAACGATTTGGATCTAATAATTGAAAAGTTAATCGAAATTAAATACTCAGGTAGGGAAAAAAAAAAGAAAGATAGTCAGGGCGTTTAGTATGGTTTCTATTTTTATTTTTATTTCTTTCATTTTTAACCAAAAAAGAAGAAGAAGAATTGCATGGATGAACACGGATGAACGGAAGGATGATCAAACAATATTTATATTTATGTTTTGTAATATATTGGAAATGGAAATAAAAAATAAAAAACTTGTTTCGATTTGATTGATCCTAAAATTTTTATACAATTTAAAAAATATTTTAAAAAATAGAAATTAGAAACATAATTAGTTGTAAAATACTTAGATTTTTTTTTTTGATAAAATTAGAAGTGATAAACAAAAACGGAACGTTGTCAAATGGATTGGTTGGTTTTTGTTTTTACATTAGAAAATATTATTTTGAAAAATTTAGAAGATGTCGGTGTGTGGGGGATTTTGAGTCCAAAAGTTTGACTTCTAAAATTCAACTTTACATTTAATATATGTAGTTTATCGGTTACCAACTTGCTAATCTATGGATTGAAATAGTAAAGTATTATTTGTTAAAATTCATATCTGTTTACAGGTTTCAAACTAGAGATGTTATCTTAATTAA